TCCCTCAAAACAACTACATATAATTTTTAATAACAAAAACATGTTGCCCACTCAAAACATCCCCAGCATGTATTTTTCTCTCCAGGCTAAGTCTCTTAACAGCCTTCGGGCACACTTGTTTCCTCTGAAATTTCTGGCGAGGGAACATTGCAGCCAATAAGACCCATCAGCCGCTCCAAAATCAGCAAGAACAACTGTCCTTTTTGCTCAAGATTTATAAACAGAGCAGTACTGCCAGCTTTTACTGAGATACACCAGTCCCGCATCACCCATCCTCTTGTTGTGTTGAGACTTTCTTAATGGGCTTGGTTCACCTCATCTGGGCAAAGGTAAGAGACAGAACACGAAGCTGAATCTGCCATGTCCTGGATTTGGGATCTATTTTGCCTGGACACCCCTCCTACTTTCCTATACAAGAAGGTATCAATCACTGTCTCCTTGTAATCTGCATTTCCCAAGATATGTTTAAACAGACAAAGACGTCATTCAGCTTCTGTACAGTCTCTGCTGTGGTATCTGTTAGTCAGTGGGCCAAGGTCTCACTGGAGGAAGAGAAATACATGAGACGCAAATGGAGTCCATTTTGTTTAATGTTATTTTAAAAAAAAAAGATCAGGCAACTATTACACCATAGGTGATTAAAACGCAATTACACTCATCATTCCACTATCTAAACAGTGAAGATTCACTTTTCTATTCAGATGGTAGAAAGTTTTGAGGAAGGGGAAAATTGAGGGATAAAAGACATTAAAAAAAAAAACAATTCCTTGCGTCAAGTTTCCTCTCCTACTTTTTAAAGCTGTTCTCACAGAGACGGCTTCTAACACACACTTCAGGAAATTCAGTTGTAAATAAAATTGAACCTGCCAAAAGGGAAAAAAAGTGATTACTGATCTTTACAGATGGCAATGAGCAGCACATATATATTTTCTTAAATCAGCTGAGCAGCTAGCTACTTTCTGTCTTCGTGTTGAGGCTTCTCTTATAAACCCGCTGTGCATCGCATGAAATCCTCAGCCTGCATGGCAGCAAATCCTGGTCAGCAATTGCTTTAAAGAAGGCCACATGAAGAAGGAAGGGCTTCTTTCCCCACCAAAAGATGCCAGCAAATCCTATTGCCACAGCCTCTTGCTCCTTTTGAACACCATTTCTGTGGCTAGGTTGACAAGCAGGAGAAACCAGCCGCTCCTCAAATACCACATCTGGTCCTGAATTCTCCAGGTACTAATCTCCAGAGCCCTTTGGTCCCAAATATATTACACAGCAGGACGTCTAGCCAGTTGCAACCTGAATCTGCTTACAAACCATGGTGTTTGGAAACATTAAACAAATAAATGAAATCATATCCTAACTTACTGTTTTTAGGGCTGTTAATCATAGGCCTCTAAGCTTGGAGTCTAAAACAAATACAACCAGTGTCTGCAAAATCCCCAAGGCATGTAAAAATGAGTATCATTTTATTGAAATCTGCCTACTATGATTGCAGTGCTTTGCTTTTCTAGTGGCAGGTGGAGATTTCCCAAGTGAGAAATTCCAGTACTCCATTTGGAATAACTAAATCCCTCTACACTATATTAATAACGGTGAGGCGTAGAAGGAAAACAACAGGAGTGATACAATTCTATCAGGTGAAACAAAACAGCACAAGCAATTAGAAAACAGTGCTTAGTAGAAGGGCTCTTTTTAATTAAAAAAATCCAAATTACTTTGCTGAATAATATAATGCAAACACATTGATTGGGAATTGTTTTTGCAAGCAATGAAATTTTGTTTTATTATTCAGATTCACTCTGTGTTTGTTTTTCTGACCTCCAGCCAGCAAACAGGAGCTGGGTTGAAGAGTCTCTCTTCCCCAACAACCGCTGAAGCCATCCACGTGATGATGCTACGGGACCCACGGCATCACGACGCTATCACTAAGCTGTCAAGGACAGCTTCAGTATAACATTATACCCATTCTTTTCAAAGAAATGTTCCAAAGAAGATAAGGCAAGTTCCCTTTTCCTCTCTTCCCACTTGCACCCACACCAAATGTCCCACTGAGCAGAAGAGTGCACTCCAAAATTGAGATGAGCACAGACCACTAGAGTTTGGCAGTTCATTTATTGGCTGAACAGGTGTTTGGCGCTTCAAAACCCCGCCCCCTCCTACGGCCGGGTGCCCACTCAAGAGGCATTGGCTGGGCTTCTCTGCCCACCTCCTTCAGGCACTGCCTCTGAGTGGCCACAGGTGTTTGGCGCTTCAAAGTCCCGCCTCTTCTGGAGGGTGCCACTCAACAGGCATTGGCTGGGCTTCCCTGCCCGCCTCCTTAAGGCACTGCCTCTGAGTGGGCGCCCGTAGGAGGGGGCGGGGTTTTGAAGTTTCGTACACCTGTCAGGCTGATAAACGAACTGAATCAGCGGTTCCTGCCCATCTCTACTCCAGAATACTGCAAGACAGGGCATGGAGTGTTGGCAAGGGAGAACTGTACCAAAGTATGGATCTTATGACAATTTATAATAAACTACTGTAAAACACTCCCTGACTGTTCTCCCCAGCAGTCTGCGGCACCCCAATCTACAGTGCCAAGGACAGTCCCTTTGGCCTTCCTTTTGAGGGGACATAGAGGGGAGAAGGGGATGACAAGATTTCTTTCCATGTACTTTCTAAAGTTAATTTATCTAAGAACTCAAAACCTTCTCGACAGAGAGACACCTCAAGAACATTCAGACAGTTGGACCTCACAGAAATCAAAGGCGAACTTAAAAGTTTCTCCGTTTTCTAAAGGCAGCAGCATGAAATCCAAGCCAAGGGAAAGACAGAAGATACTCTACCTGCTCAAGAGCTGGGGAAGGCTGGAAATGATCGGCCCGTAACCTGGCGCGTTGTCATAGAGCTCAAACAAGGGAGCAGCTACCAACTTGTAATTTTTGGGGACTGCAAACAAAGCTAGAATAAATCCAGGAGAGGAACAATCAAAGACAAGTCTTGTTTCAATCCAGACGAAGAACAAAATTAAGCCTAGCTTTGTCCTGCTTAAACCCAAGACCACGTCATACACAGAGCAATCATTATATGATTTACTTTGTACAATCTGAATGTCCATGTCCATCTCTAGTGCCAAATATTTAATGATGGCTGGATTGGGCAAGTAACGTCACAAAACCCAAAGCAACACAGTCCTTATAACTTTAAATGGCAGTGAGTGTGATGCATGGATAAAACAGCTGGACAGCTGTTGGCCTTTCATTCTTAAACTCCAGTTCTCATCACCCTTACACATGCTGGCTGAAACTGGGAAAAGCAGAAGTCCACAACATCTAGAGGGTCAAAGTTCATACTCCCAGAGCAGATACAATGGAGAAATGTTTCCAGGTTTAAGGTCAGATGGTACAGGCCATTTTTGCTGAGCCTTTTGTTCACACTGAATTATCTCAGTAATACATAAACTCATGTTCAGGATATAGCCAGACACTTACCTTTTTCTTGAAGCTGAACCAAAAAGAGCTTCTTGTGCTCTTTTGGTTTCGTAATATGAGCGGGAATATACGGATACTAGAAGCAAAAAATTAAAAATGAATAAACTTGACGTTCATGTACATTGCAATGAAGGACAGTGACGAGAGTACATGACGGATGAGGAAAATAAGGCTACTTATAGTTTCACTGCTCTGAGTCTCATCCTTAATGCTTGGAGATTCAAAGTCGAACAGATACATCAAATATTTACTTGAGTATTTAAAACATTTTGACCCCATTTTAAAAGGACCCAAGGCATCTTACATGAGTCAAAGACAATACAAAAGATAACAAGAGTATACAAATACTAAAAAAGATCAAACAGATACAAAAAACCCCCCGATAAGCAATACTAAGAACACATTCAAAGCAGTAATGCATTATAATCTATTCAGGAATACACATTCAAAGCAGTAATGCATTATAATCGATTCAGCAATCTACTCAGGCGGCCAGTCACTCAGGGAAAGTTTCCCTGAAGAGAAAGGCCTTTGCCAGGTTGCGGAAGGTCAGCCAGCCTGGCCTCCTGTGGGAGGGAGTTCCAAAGTCTGGGAGCAGCAATGAGAAATATGCCAAGATACCAGCCAGTATCCTGCCATGCAGATACAGCTGAAATAACATCAACAGCAGACTGCCACTAATTGAAGAGTTGCTGCTGTGATTTCAAGTTGCCTGCCACTCTGCCTGTTTCCCTCCCTAGCTGCTGCCCATAAAGTCATTCCCTCATCAGGATTGCTACAGAAGAGGACTTTGACTAGTGCAACAGTAAAGAGCAAGCCAAAGCAGCACTTTACATCCCTGCTATAGCTCTAAGTCAGGATGGATAAAAATCAACCCTGCTCTAATCCAGCTGCCATTTGCAGCAGGATAAAAGCTTTCACTAGCACCACAAAACATACCACCCATTCTGAAATCTGGGGAGGCACTGGGTTATAACTACAGATGAGTTACATGTGACCTAAGGAGCCAATCACCAGCTGGAGTGCACTCCTCTCCTCAGCTGTTTGTCCATTCTGCCTTCTTGTCTGAGTGGGAGATCAGGCAAGGAGACAGGCTGGGAATCCCACAATCCTTACAGAGACTGAGTGAACCATCGAAGAGGAGAAGGACAGCGGGCACTAGCCTGTCCGTAGGGGGATCCAGCTGAGGAGTCGGGGAAGCGAACACACAGCACCGGTGGAGCCATGCATACAAACAGGCACGAACCTACGAACCAAGGTTCGTCCCCATCTCCAGTTACAACTCTAAGTTATATAGAAAATAAAAACAGTAACGTGAACTGCAATCCTCACCTGGGGAGGCTCAAAATTCGGTCGCCACCAGTTACCAATGCAATCATCGATGACCCAATCTTGTTGCACTCCATCTTGACGACCCAGTATCTATCAAAACATAAGATGCAAGAAAATTAAATATGTTCTTTTGTATTGTAAGCAAGTTAGGCCAGCAAAATAATTTAATATCTGCAATTAGTTGTTCATGAATAAGAAAACACTCAAATCTTTTGCTAACTAGATTTGCCAGCAGCTCCGGCCTGAAAGCTCTCTCTCCCCCTAGGCCAGGTGGTTGATGTTGAGAGGGGGTGAGGCAGCCAGGAGCAGCAGGCCGCAAATCTTTTGCTAACTAGATTTGCTTATCACTTACAACAGTAACATAAACCCTAGTAATTGCTTTGTATGTAGCTGGGAAAATGTTTTTAAAATAATGGCAGCAATCCTGTTGTGTAGCTATGCCTGCATAACTTGAAGGTGCATATATCACTGTGAAATGTACACCACAGCAGAAGAAGTCTGGTCAAAGAAGCAGTTCCACAGATATAGTTGCTTAAGCCAATTACATTGTTCACTGCACAGTTCCCTGTACGATCAATAGGCTGAGATTAAGCCATCTTTCTCATTAATGTTTTGAACATCTAATTTGAGATTCAGTGGCTGCAATCCTGCTGCTTAGCCTAAGCAGAATCATACCATTCATTCTTTTTTGCTCCTAGCCCGTAAACAAAGAGCCAGGCTCACACCCCAAGAATGGCAGGGTCAACTCTTTGTTTACGGACTAGGAGCAGAGTGAATGTTATGATTCTGCTTATGATAAGCAACAGGATTTCAGCTAGTGCCTTACTAACTTAATGTTAAGAACAAGGAAACACTTCACAAGAGACTTTGGACATTCATGTAAACACAGCAAAGAGTTATTTTAACAAATTCTGCAGATGATTCTGCTTCAGTTCTCACTAACAGCAATCAAATCAAGCCAACTGAAGTGCCTCCTCTTTAAGAAAAAGCTCCTTGGCCATTCTTTCTAGATATGTAAGACCACTTTAATGAGAGCTTTGCGTTCAAATGCACACTTACAGGCCTTTATCAAACCTGGGTTTCTATGATGGGCAGACACCTTTGTGCACGCATATTAAAACTTGTGAAATTTAACCCAGTACTATTTATCTTTGTTTATGCTTACAATAATCTTCCAGGATTCCACAGGACAAAACCAAATAAATGTGTTGAATACCTCAGTCATTAAACGTTTGAGGCCTTCCACTTCATCTTCTCCTGGATTAAGCTCACCACCTGGCCTGTTATAAATATCAAAAATATGTTTTTAGGCACAATTATAGTCAAACCAACATTGAAATATTTCAAGAAATGGCATGATTTTAAGTCAAACTGCTACCTGAAATATGTCCTAAAGCTAATTGCCTTAACCAGGAAGCACCACCCTATTGGAAATCTAGACTGGCTTTCACTGGGTGAGACTATTTGTTGCTCAATCCCAGGGCTGTCTACTCAGGGTAGCAATGGTCCTCCAAATTCCCACACGACTTGTCACCTAAGTCTTTAAAAAAATCCTAGATATGTAGCTTTCAACATACACTCTACTGCTCAGCTATGTTTCCTCTCCAACGCAGGCATCTAGAATTTGGATATGAAGCATGCATGGACAGCTCTCATTTAACAAATCTATGCTAGTTAGGTTCAGGAAGCCTCTACCTTTAGGCCCAACTCTGTTAATAATATAACAATGCTCCTCATACAGCAGCAAATGCTATCAAAACCTGTTGATGTTTACTACAAAGCAGAGGTACAACTGCAGAAACTGATGTTTGTGATATGCCAGTCATATGTCTCATCATGTGACCAGGTTCCTCACAAGATACCTGCTTCCACAACTGTAACCCAGTGTGTAGTAAACACCAACAGAATATTAGCTGTACCAATTAGGGCTTTACCCAACTGAAGAGTTTCTGATCTGCCTTTTTTAACTGAACAATGTAACAAAAACCAAACAGAAATAAAAGCAAATGTATCGTGGCAGCTTAAAAACAATTTTCAGCATCAGTTCTGGTAAATTACAGTCCACATCCTGTTGTAATATCTGATGTTACCAGAACCCCAATATGAGTAAGTGAATTTCTGGGGACATTTAGTTAGAAGTCTGTCTCTCACTGCAGCAGACTCCACTCCCAGCTAGGAATCCACAGGTTTCCTGAACAAAGCCTGTCATAGGTTTCTAAAAAGGACAAATTTTCTATTTCCCACTGCAGGAATGAACCAGAACCAAAATACCAACAAACCAACCACAAGCCACGCAAATAAAATTACCTTTATTCTAGTGCCATCAAATAAAACTGGACCATGTTGATGAAACAAGCAAAACACAAGCTGATTGATTATGCTACAGAATAAAATTTATGTCTCTACTATGAATAGTTGTTTGATTTGAACTGTTATGATATGTACTTCCTCAAGCACATGAGATGGTTTACAGCTTAAGGATATATCAAAGGGGGGGGGGAAGCAAAGGACAATAAGTACATTCACGTCCTGAACTTGACACCAGGAGTTCAGGGAGAGTGGGAAGCCAGATAGCACTGGGTCTCAACCAAGCCAGCAAGGCCCTTCTCTTGTGCTTCTTCCTCTGGGGCAAGTGGGGTGGAAAAAGAATCAGACGGGTGCTTAAGCCTTTACTCCTCCTGCCAATTATCTGCTCCACATTTCTACCCATGCAAGGTAGTTTCGCTCTTTGCCAGAGTTGCAAATACTCATCTTGTTAGGCAGCACCAGATGCAAGAACAGCCACTCACAGTTTGAAGAAAGTTGTGCCCAACTGCAGGAGCAATACGTGAGGCAGCCTGTGTTCGTGCACGATCAGGACGCCCTCAACGGTCCGCCTCATTCCAATCTTGTCAAATTCTTCTCTCATGCGCTGGAACCGTGCAGCCACTGAACTATCCTTCTCATAGAGGGGTTCCTTGGTCCCAAAAGTATAATTCGTGAGTGGATACCTGGGGGCAAAAAACATGAGATCTTAAACATGTCATGCAAACCGACATTCTTGTCCAAGGATTTTCTCACAGTTCTGGAGACCAGGGTGCCAAAGCCCAGATACAAAATGTGGCAAAGCAATATTTCACCTCCACCTCTTCCTTTCTTTGAGAAAGAGGTGCTGGCAGCATGGTCTGCGAGAAAAAAAATTCAATGGTGGTTGGAAAGGATGCTAAATGAGAATTCAAAAGTTGCACTGATCCTCTATGCCACAATGAGGGGTATTCCAGGTTCTGACAAACGCACAGCTTCATCTCATCAATGGAGTTGAAGAGATAAAGTGGTGATTCCCTGCTCTTAACCCAGCCCCAAACGCAACAATGCGTTGAGCCCAAACAAAGAGCAGCCTTTAGAGCAGGGGGTGGATGAAGGGCACGTTGCTAACATTTTGGGTGGGCCACATTTCCCTTATGTGAGCTGAAGGGAGGGCCCACCTCGGGGGCAGGCACAGGGTGCATGTGTGAAGAGGGCCCTTCCCTCAGTTTCTTTTGTTCCCCTTGAAAACAAATGATGATTTCCTTGCATTTCTTCGCCAGAGGTGGTGGCTTCTAAGCAAAAGGTCTCTTCTACTCCATAAGCACCCTTTCCAGCCTTTCTTCTCCGATTGGGGTTAAAATCCTCCTTTGTTCTTCAACGCTGTCATACATACAGGGCGGTACCTAACAGGAGGACCCATTCACAGGTGAACCCGAGGCCAACACGCCACAGCAGGCACACGGGCACGTGTGAAGAGGGCCCTTCCGTCTCTTTTTATTTCTTCCCCCCCCCCTCTCGTGTGAGGGGGAGAAAAAACGGATTTCTGAGAACTGGAGAAGGAATGAAAACCGTTCGGAAAGGAGGCGGGAAAGGGCGCGGGCGTGGCTGGGCGAGGCGGCTTGGTTGAAATCGGCCTGAGAGATCTACTTCATCACCCGGGGAACTCCCGGCTACTGGACGGGGGGGGAAGGCGGGAATAAAGGGGGGATGGAGAAGCCTAAACCGGGATTAGGAGGGGGGCCGCCTTCTCCCTCCGGGTCGGGGAAAGCGGGAAGGCCCCCGGCGCCTCACTCACAGGTTGATGGTCCGCTCGAGGGTCAGGGGTTTGCTCTGCTGGATGTATTTGTTCCCGAACTGGTTCACCCCGCGGGGCCAGCCGGTCTGGGAGCGGTTGGGCGGCACCACGGACATGGCGGAGGCGGCCGCGGTTCACCAAGGCACCGGCCTCCCCGCCACCACCAGCATTCCCCGGCCGCGCCGAAGCTCCGTCCCCCACACCTCCAGCCGCCCGCCGCCGACCTCACACCCGCCAAAAGCTGGCGCCGGAAACAGCAGGCCGCATTTCCGGGAACCAGAGAGAGAGAGCGAAAACGAAGGCTGGCGGCGCCGGTCTAGCCATCCCTCCCTCACGCCCGCTCTAGGCCACTGGGGTTCCATAGAGAAGGGGAGGTCCGAGCCCGGGATGTTTCAGGGTGCTGGGCGGAATAGCAAGAGGACGCCACAGCCAATCAGAATACTCAAAGGGCACGCTCCATTCGTATTGGCTGTCCTAAACCCATCTCTGGATTGCCATTGGTTAAAGGCAGCCCATGGTTCTTCCTCGGGCCGGATCCTAAGTGGATAGAGTGGCTTACCCATGAAAACTCGTAATACGTTTCTAGGAAATTATCCCAGGAAGATGATGCCTTAACAAAGGCGTTATGATTTAATATGCTGCCAGGCTCGCATTCCCTTTGCTCCTCTATAGCCGCTGTGGGAACCCTCGGTCTCTGCTTCTCCATGGCTGATAGGCCAGTTTCCTATCCACCCCCCCAATAGTGACTGACTTTCCTCTTCGCCCAATCGCCTCAACACCTTCCACCTCTCTGTGCGCGGTGATTGGATAAGCCGCGACGCAGCCCCGCCTCTCGTGCGCGGAGGCGCGCGGGGCATGGCGGGAGTTGTAGTCTCCCCTTTCTGAGGGCCCGAGGAGAGCCGGCCGGTGTGTTTTTCTCTGAGGGGACGAAGATGAGCCGAAGGGCCGGGAAGAGTCTCGCGGTGGCGGCGGACGAAGGCCAAGCCGAAGCGGGCCGGGGCCCCTCCGCGGCCAAGAAGCGCGCCAAGCGGGAGCCGCGCGCGGCCCTCTCCGCGGCCCTGAGGGAGCCGGCCTTGAGGGAGAAGGTGGCCGCGGCCTGGGCCCGCCGGGAGGCCCTGAAGAACGGTGAGGGAGGCCCAGGAACAAGGGCCGGGCGAGGGAGCGAAGGAAGGCTCCGTCCCGCGCCCTTGGATCCTTTTTTTTTAGGGAGGAGGGGTGTGTGTAATAATATTTATAAATGCGGCGCTAGTCCTCATTGAGGCGCCCGCTGCAGCTCCTGGCCGGTCGGTCCGACTTGTGCCCGACCAGGGAGAAAGCGGGACCCAAAAAAAGGGGGCGGGGAGATTGTTAGTTTTAAATGAGCTTTTAGAATTCTTTTAATGCCTCTCTTTAATTTTCTCTCTGTTTAAAATTGTTGTACATATACCTATTGATTTTAGCCTTTAAATGTTGTCGTTTTCAGGATGTAATCCGCCTCAGAGAAAGGCAGGGTGAAGATATTTTAATATATTTAAGGTTTAAATATTTAATAATTAAAAATATATAACATAGATTTAATTACAGTATATCAAAATGTTTAGCATACCTAGCTAAACAATAGAACAGCCGTGTGGCTGAGCGAACTTTCATTTCAGAAAGCTTGTGGTCTGCTGTGCTTTCCCCAGAGGCTGTTGTCCTGGATCTGGTCCCTTTCCACCACGGTGTCATCCCAAACTTCGTCCAAGATGAAGGTTTTTTAGAAGGACTGCAGAAGGAACTTTTGAACCTGGATTTCCATGAAAAATGCAACGATTTGTACAAATTCAAACAGGTACTTCCTGTGGGGGTGATCTTGTTATCCTTTGATTGGGGCTCCCTCTTCACTGGCCAGCGTATCTCAGCTTCCTCAACCATGTGCTGGATGACAAATCCTATAAACCCCAGCAAATTTTGTTGACTGCAGCCACATGGGAGCTATAGTCCAACCTCTGGAAGGCACAATGGAAGGAGGCTGATCTATGCAGGCCAGATCAATGAGCGACCTCCATCCAAAATCCAAAGAAGCAAAACAATACAAAAATAGACAAAAACATGTGGCATCTTAAAGATAGGATTTGAAAGGGTTTGATATCAATCATGCAAAATGCAAGACCAGTTTTTCACGGTGGCACTTGTAAAATAGGAACAAAATATTTTCTAAATGTCACCTGTGAAATTTTATAAGCTTTCTCCAAATGTCTGTAGGCACTGCCCAGCGTTCTCACTAGGACTGTCGCTAAAAGACCAACTGGGCACGAGTTTGTTTCTTTTGTGTACGTGTGTTTCTTTACATTCTCCTTGTCAGCGTTTCTTTGCTATTACTTCCAGAGAGAGAGAGAAAAAATGTTATCTAGTCTGGTTGCAACCTCGATAACAACAGTTGATGACCAGGCAGTTAGACAGGCTATTATGTAATCACTGGGCTAGATGCCTCCCCCTTCAGGGGGCTGCTGTCCAATCGGGTTGCAATTGCCCTCCCCTTTCTCTTGGATGGCTAATTAGTGGACCCGAAGACTGTATTTTGGCCTTGTAGCCTTCAGTCACTGATCTTTGCTGTGTGAGAAATGCCCAGATAAGCATTATCAAGATACTTACGATCTTGTTATTATAAGTGGAGTAATGGTTGTTTCTTACTGCCTTTGCAAAGTCAGATGATCTGAAGAAGAGAAGAGAACCATACATTGCTGCATTAAGGTAAAATTGCTGTGTGTTGTTTTTTTTAAAAAACTGTACTAAACCTACTTTAGGGACGTGGTGGTGCTGCTGGTTAAACCGCAGAAGCCTCTGTGCTGCAAGGTCAGAAGACCAGCTGTTGGAATATTGAATCCACATGACGGTGTGAGTGCCTGTCGCTTGTCCCAGCTCCTGCCAACCTAGCAGTTCGAAAGCATGCAAATGCGAGTAGATAAATAGGTACCACCACGATGGGAAGGTCACGGTGTTCTGTGTCTAGTTGCGCTGGCCACGTGACTTCGGACAAATGCTGGCTCTATGGCTTGGAGACGGAGATGAGCACCGCGCCCTAGAGTCGGACACGACTGGATTCAGTGTCAAGGGGAACCTTTATCTTTACCTTTAAAACTATTTTGAATACCTGTGGCCAAGTCAAAGGACCACAGATGTTCCTTTATGTGGTGTTCCACCAAGAAAACACAGCAGCTGCAGCCAACTTACTTTGTAACAGATTTAGGGAATCTTATGGCAATGTTGTGTACTGTACAAATTTGTCTACTTATACATTTACACTGATTATACAGCTTAATCTATGAGCCTGTTCATATTTGCTTAGAAATAAGCACTTTTAGCTTCCATGGGTGTGAAGGTGGGAGTAGGGCTGTAAGAAGCAGCTGAATTTTTTTCTGAGTAGAGATGGGCACAAATCTTGATTCGGAGTTGCATTCCAGTTCTGTGGTGCTGTGCATTCCCTTCCCTCGCCTCTCCCGCCAAGGACCCACTCCTCAGTTGGAGTGTGTTGCTCTCCTCTTCTTCTTTGGGATGGGTTTTGCCTATCCTGCCTCCTTGTATTGAGTGGGCAATCAGAAGGAGGCAGGGCAGGGAAGCCCATGCTCCTACTAGAGACTGGTTAAACAACCGAAGAGGATGAGGAGGAGAGGAGCACACCTTGGCTGGTGAGTGGGGGACCCAGCCAGGGAAGGTGCCTTTGGAGCTCCAAACCAAGGTTTGTGCCCATCTCAAGTGCTGAGTGAAGTCCTACGTCCTTACTCACTGGACACCGACCGACTGACCCGCCTTTTGTCTGACATTTCACAATCTGATGTGCAAGAGGCTTTTCCAGTTGATTGTAAGCATCTGTTGTGTGGTTGGGTGGAATCAAAAAAGATCAAGAGGTCAGACGTGATTCCATAGGCAACAGAAGTGACTGGTATTTTGTAATCTTGCCATTCCATGTGTTCTCCCTTCTTTCAGAGAAGTTCTCTTTGAAGAGTTCCGGGCTTGGCTTTCTACTGTTACCCAAGTGGAGTTAGAGCCAACCATTGACCTGTCCTGTGCCAAGTATGAATATACAGGTGAGGGGAACCCCCTTTGCCGCCTCTGTTGTGTCTGTGGGAGAGATAGGGTGCAGCTTCTCCAAAGGGTGGTCTCTTGGTCTTGGGTGCAAGCTGAAAACCAAGCTTGGCTAGTGTGGTTGGTGCCCCTTGCCCAGGGATTCTTCCATGGTGCCTCTGACAAAGAGGATACGTTGCCTGCCCTTGCAGATGCCCTGCTCTGCCACGATGATGAATTGGAAGGTCGGCGAATTGCCTTCATCCTTTATCTTGTGCCACCTTGGGATGAGAATGATGGAGGCACCTTGGACCTCTTCTCCACTGACGGTAGGTGGGCGATGATGGCAAAGCCATTTCCTCCTTTCCTGTAATCTTTTGGGGAATAAGCTGGCAGTCTGCAGACTTCCATAAATAAACTCTGCACTCCTTGCAGCAACCTAGCTGTTTTTAAAACCTTGAACGAAAATCAGTTTTGTGGAATTTTATTACAGAAGGGCATGCGGTAAATTTACTTCAAGCTGCCTTTCGTTGCCTGTTCTGTTTGGTGTTCAGTTTCGTACTTGCATCATTCCAGCTACAGAGGGATCACTGCTCAGAAGTGTAATGCCTCCTCTGCCTGCAGATGTGCCCAGGTTCCATCCCTAGCTTCTCATAAAGCACTGGAGAAGGCATTGGTGCCTGATGAGTCCGTGCTAGTCAGAGTGGTTCACACTGTGCTTCATTTGCACAGCTGTGTGTGTCCCTCAGCGCTGGAATCGACCTTGCTTGTTTCCTTCCTCCCCTGCAAACCGCCTGGCTTTGTGCATCTGCTTCCTCACTGCGGGCCAGAGCTTGGGACCGTTTTTTCCCTTTTTGAACTATTCACTCCCAGTTGCCCTGAGCCAAGGCCATGCTGGCTGGAGGATTGTAGGAGTTGTTCTCCAAAAGAGTAACTTTTTAAAGCACTGATATTGACTAATCTCAGTAGGTTCCCATACATCTCCAGGGAGGGGTATTATTTTTAGCTGTTGGCCATAACCTCAGGGCCAAGCTGATTCTTTGCATCTCTTAGTTACATTTTAAGCCCTGCTGAATAAGCCTGTGTGTTGTAGATTGGGTTCTGTTTCCCCCTGTGGGCCCCAGATGCTCTTTCAGAGTCCGTGTGAAGGCAGATGGTTGCTGATGTAACTAACCGGCCATGAAGAGCTCTCAGTGAAATGCTGTTTAAAAGATGAAACAAAACTCAAACCTGCAGAATTCCTTCCTGGCTTTGTGGCTGAAAGAAGGGTGTTGCAGTCGATGTGTGAAGAGAACATCTAAGTGCCCAGTGTTATTTAACATGTGTTGTTTTTCCTGCCTGGCTTTGTGCATCTGCTTCCTCACTGTGGGCCAGAGCTTGGGACCGTTTTTTTCCTTTTTGAACTATTCACTCTCAGTTGCCCTGAGCCACCATAGCCAAAGCCATGCTGGCTGGAGGATTCTAGGAGTTGTTCTCCAAAAGAGTAACTTTTTAAAGCACTGATATTGACTAATCTCAGTAGGTTCCCATACATCTCCAGGGAGGGGTATTATTTTTAGCTGTTGGCCATAACCTCAGGGCCAAGCTGATTCTTTGCATCTCTTAGTTACATTTTAAGCCCTGCTGAATAAGCCTGTGTGTTGTAGATTGGGTTCTGTTTCCCCCTGTGGGCCCCAGATGCTCTTTCAGAGTCCGTGTGAAGGCAGATGGTTGCTGATGTAACTAACCGGCCATGAAGAGCTCTCAGTGAAATGCTGTTTAAAAGATGAAACAAAACTCAAACCTGCAGAATTCCTTCCTGGCTTTGTGGCTGAAAGAAGGGTGTTGCAGTCGATGTGTGAAGAGAACATCTAAGTGCCCAGTGTTATTTAACATGTGTTGTTTTTCCTTATGAGATCACTTCCAGCCTTTAAAGATTCTCAAGTCATTGGTCCCTTCATGGAATTCACTCGTTTTCTTTGAAGTATCACCAGTGTCTTTCCACCAGGTAAGAGATCCCTTTTTGTTTATCTCCTTGGTATTTGAGTCCTTGTCATGCATGAGCCATCAGGACCACGATTTGGAACCTCTTCCTGCTCTTTGGCTTTCTGTTGGCCTCCTTTGGCCATTGCACCCTCCTAAACTTGAAGGGGCTCTAAAAGACTTCTTGTTTGGTCCACTTCTTTGTTTGACTCTTGACAGATGCCTTTCACTTAGCCTTATAATCTGTCTAGAGCCTCTCCTCCATCTTTGGCCTAGTGAGACAGGAAGTGAGAGGGAAGAAAGGCTAGCAAGAGTGTCCGCCTGACTATTGTCAGCCCACTGACAAAGTTCCTTATTCAGTTCTATTTTTAGCAGAAACTGTTGCTCAGGTCCTATCCCGCAGACACCTGTATGTCAGGAACAGGGGCCTCAAAAGGGGAACAAGCCCGAAGAAGGGGCAAGAAGATGGCTCAGGTACAGGCCTGGCTCCCGTGTGGGGCAGGAAGTGTTATCTCTCTGGAAAATGGGATGCTGGCAACAACTTCATAGTGCTGACACAGCTTCTTTGAGCCTGAAGCAGTAGCACCGTATGGAGATGGATGAGATCCTTGGAACGTTTCCTGTATTTAAAGGCTGTGTTAAATCATTGATTTTATTTTTCAATGGTTGCTGCACAGTTCAGTGTCTTCAAGGTGGAGCAAGACCTAAAGTTAAAGTATCCCATAGTTCAGATCCGGCTTTAACCTGCACTCTGTTGATGAAATCAGTGCTGACTGTGTGTTTGTTTTGTTCTGTTTTGTGGTTTCTTCCCCTCGTTCAAGGTGTCTGAAGTTGTTTCCAAAGAGAAGTGTCGTTTGTCCGTGAGTGGTTGGTTTCATGGCCCCCCGGTAGCGAGGCCGCCCCGGCATGTGGAGCTGCCCCTCCCACAGAGCCCTCACATTCCTCACGATGTAAGTAAATGTCCTGCCACCCTCCACCCCGGATTCACACAACGTTGTTGCTCCATGGTGTTCTTGATATTTTTAGCTGACCCTTTGGAGGAATACCTAGTCTTGAGATGCTCTCCCATCCCCTGCACTTGATTTCCATTTGATCTGGAGAAAGAATCCTTTCAAGCTGAAACTGAACCCCTTTGTGTTGCAGCTGGGAAACGGTGGCAATTCTTATGTAACCGATCACCAACCGGCCAGATTAAGCCACCAGTTTTATCAGTCCCTTGGCAGTCTTTAACCCAGGCGCCGTCCAGGTTGGCCCAGTTTTTCACTCACGAGATTTAAAAAGGAGAAAATGTTTTAAGAAGTCAAGAGGTCACAGTCTTGAAGATTGCAGGATGAGGAAAATGCCAGGTTTAGTTGCAATATTTCCGTCCAATTAAGTTTTTTAGTAACTATGGGATACTGAGAAGGATGGCCAAGGGAGTAAGGCATTTAGAAACCAAGCCCCATGAGGAATGGTTGTGGTACTAAGACACGTTTATCCAGCTGAAGAAGAAACAGAACGTGGCTGGGACAGCTGTCTCCAAATAACTTAAAAGGGTTGGAACAGTCTGGTTTTTTTTCCAGTTCCAGAGTATAGGACTCAAGGTAATGAATTCAAATAAGAAAGGAGATGTTGCTTACTTTATTTTATTTATTTATTAGGCTTTAATCCTGCCCATGTAGGGGAATGGCATTTTAACTAAAGATAAGGAAGAACTTCGCAATGGTAAAAGCTGTTTCCGAGTGGAATAGCTTTGGCAAGGTGTTGCAATTTTTGTCTTTAGATGTTTCCAACAGAAATTGGAAGGCCATACGTCCAATGCCTTAGGTGTGGTGTTGGGAAGAGTTAGACTCATGGATCCTTTGGGGGCCCTTCCACCTCTACAGTTCTAATATTCTTTGAAGTCGGAGCGGTGGATACACAGAACACATCATGTGACTGGACTAGAATATGCCTGACTGGTGCCAGAAGTCCTCTTCTTAAGGCGATTCCATCTGAGCTTTTTGTTGTTTTGAAACAACTTGTGCAGGGCTGTACTGGAGATTTTGTTTGGCTTCCTTGTTTTCTCTTTTATTATTACTATTTTTTAGCATGAAATCTTGTATGACTGGATCAATCCTGTTTATCTGGACATAGATTCCCAGGCCCAGATTCAGGAGGAATTTGAGGACAGGTCTGAGATCTTGCTGAAGGATTTTCTCAAGGTGAGTCTTAGAAGCTATGTTTCTACCATGCTGTGTCCGTCAAGTCCTTTCAGGGCCATAGGCGGAGGGGCTGGTGAAAGGGGGCCTTTTTGGAATCATTTTTTGTGAGAAGTTCACAGGTCCGCTGGCCTGTGATCAAGGTGCCGGTTTCAGGCCAGTTGTGAGCCATTCTGGTTCACCACACAGGGCTAGTGGGACTCCCTTCCACTGGCCTGAGGATATTTATTTTTTTATTTTTTTTTATTTAATTTATATGCCGCCCACTCTACCCAAAGGTAGATATTCTACCTTCATCAAGATTCCCCCCCCCTCTGGTTACTAGTAGACAATAACATGGCTAATTACCAGGAGGCTTCCCCCCCCATCAATTATGTTCTGGCCTTTTAAAGTATGTATATAGTCCACATGTGTTCTTAAAATATGCCAATGGGGGAAAATAATGGCTCAATGAGTAAAACCAAGTGGAAGATCCAGTACACTGTTTAATTTGCCTCTTGTATACAAGCCTGACTTTGCTAAATACAAATGTGAAAGCGTAGGGCTGCATCAAAAGCTGTTTCAATGTGTTTTCTTCCTAGAGAGACAAGTTTTGGTTGGTCTGTGAAGCTGTGCAGAAGGAAGAACTCCAGTGGAGCAGCAGAGGGCCCCCAAACAAAAGGTAGCCGCTTTCAGGCTGTGCTGACTCACTCACTCACCTCTCTTCTCTTGGCTCCACTGTGCTCATCTCAGCCAACAGAGGTGTTGCACATGTAAGACTTACAATCTCACTAAAACGAGATCCACAGTGCCAAGATATTCAGTTGGTGTGGGGTGCAGAAGGGTACACTGCCTGCTTCCTGGGCCTTCTTACACACACACCCCACCATGAAAAATTATTTCCAAAAAGGGGTGTCTGAGAAACAATATGTGTTGTGCAAATTAGCCAATGTTTTATTTGCCTTGTGGCGTCTCTGCGTAGAACATGGGTCGTCTTGCTGCAGCAAGCTGTGGCCTTCGAACGGCGTTTGGCAAGGCAGGGGATATTTCCAAAAAGGGGTGTCTGAGAAACAATATGTGCTGTGCAAATTAGCCAATGTTTTACAGTATTTGCCTTATGGCGTCTCTTCGTAGAATATGGGTCATCTTGCTGCAGCAAGCTGTGGCCTTCGAATGGTGTTTGGCAAGGCAGGGGCATCCAGGGCCCCAGCCAGTTCATAATGCTTGCTACCATTTTAGGCATTACCGAAAAGCAGATGAGGAGAGCCTGCCCAGCATCTTGAAGGCCTGCATGGAGCTCTTTCGGTCAGAGGCCCTGTTCTTGCTCCTGTCCAACTTCACAGGCTTGAAACTGCATTTCCTCGCTCCAGGGGAGGAAGAGGAAGGAGAAGGAGGGAAAGAAGCAGGAGGGGATTTGAGCAGATCTGCACCAGGACAGAGCAGTCAAGGAGAAACTGACAGCAGAGACTATGCCGAGGACTCCGAGAGAATCCCCGAGAGTGGAGAGAGTGGTAGGTAGAGGACCCAACGACATCTCTTCGGGTCCACTGGGACAGGAATGCCAGGTGGGACCTCAGAACCCCCCCCCAAGACTGGCATCCCCTGGTCTTTATTGTCTGACCCTCACCTGTGTTGATCCTAAGAGTACACCCAGCCTTAGAGGCAGCAACCCTTGTTCCTCCATCATTTCTGCAGGGGATTTTAGTGTTGGTGGTCCCCCAAGACTGGCATCCCCTGGTCTTTATCGTCTGACCCTCACCTGCAGAAATGTCTAAAGCGAGAAGGGTGGCTGAATGTCCTGTGTCACTCTTTGTGTCCCCCCCACCCCACCCTGAAACTAGGAGAATCAGATGTGCAGTGAGGACCGTTCTGCTAGCCTCCTTTGTTTGTGCGTCTTAGAGGCCGTAGGGAATTTAGCTTTCTTGGGTGCTGGATTTGGATGGCTTCAGCATTACGTAGCTGTGAGCACACCCAGCCTTAGAGGCAGCAGCCCTTGTTCCTCCATCATTCCTGCAGGGGATTTTAGTGTGTGGTGGTTTTGGTGTGGGCGAAGACATGGAGCCTGCAATCCTTCTGTTCTGCTTCTCCTTCAGCAGCTGAGGCGGATGCCAAAGGCTGTGTTACCTCTTTCTTTTCCTCTTGGAGAAAAGGGAGGCTTGGTGTGAAGGCACCTCCCCGGCTTCCTCCCATCTCTCTTTTGCAGCTGGGACCAGCTGGGGTAGATCTGTGGTGCTGATCTTCAGGTGCTTACCACAGCATGGAGCGGGGTGGGAATCAGGTGTCCCTCCCAAGACCCTTTGACAGCAACCAGAGCCCCGCAGAGCAAAAATACCATCTCCACCTGAATTATTTAAAACTACAGTGGAAAAATCAGACTCAAAATGTGCCGTGCTCTTCTCGCTTTAGACATTTCTGGGTTTCAAAAAACATGCAATGACCTTCCTGGCATCTTTGGTTTCATTGGTGTAGCCCCCAAAGAGTCCTCAAGCTGGAGAAACAGCTCACAGAACTTTCCCATTCCAGTATAAAGTAGGCTTTGAAAAAAAGGTCCTGTTCTTGTCCCCCTCCCCCTTAGGCTCAAGGACCCCTCTGTGTGTCGGAGAGCTGAGACATTGGACCCAGGGATGCTACACTCTCGTCCACGACACCCAAGCCACTGAGTTCGCCCTGGATCTGCTGTTCTTCTGTGGGTGTGAAAGTAAGTTTCATTTTAAGCTGCCTCAAAGAACATAAGGGAAAGGAGCTGAATAGGAATACCCGGAGAATGGGGCTGTTCCAGGCTTCCGGTTCCCTTGGCATGTCCGAGAACAGCAATCTGAAGCGCTGGAATGCAGAGCCCAAAGCATAAGCAGAGTCGAGAGTCTTCTTTCCTGTGGGTTGTCATCTGTGCTGAAAAGTCAGTTCCAAAGATGGAACCTGAGCTAGTCCCTTTCGGGGAGCAGCAGGGTCTAGCAAGCGTTGGAGAGCTTCTCACCTCTTCTGAGGATATGAAGCACTAAATCATTTTGAACAGTTGCAGTTTCTTGGTAAGCAGGTGCCTTTGATTCAAAATGAAAGTAAGGGCGGTGAGAACCCTGGCTTTGCCAGAGGGCTGAACTTTCCTGGGGCAAGAAGAGCAAAAAGTAGAAGCTTGGAACTGTCAGATCCAGGGAGCAACACCCTCCCCCCAACTACTGGAAAGTTTTTTAAAGGCTGTAAAATCTTCTCGTTATCTCAAGATTTTGGAGTCTAAGAATTGGACTAGGTCTTGTGTGTACTACTTCTGATAACCTTGTTTTTCTTTAAGACATTGCAAGACAAATTGTTAAAGATCAACACATTGCACAATAATAAATGGGTTAATCTTACGGCACCTTAAAAGATATTGTTGCTGCAGCAGACAGACCCTGTTGCCACTGTAAATTCTTGATTTCTGGATGAGGGAACTGATTTTTTTAAAAAAATCTTGGTGCCCCTAGGGGGCACTTTTGAACTGGCAGAATTCATGCTGAACAAACATATTTTCTTAGTTCAGACCAGACAGGTTGAACAGTAGAGTGGGAAAGGACTATAAAACTTGGGACTGATATAGATTTCCAATCTGTTTCAAGGTTGGGACGTGGAGTTTGGAGGTTTTACTTCGTATATTGCAAAAGGTGAAGACGAAGAGGTAAGTCTGTCTCTTCCTTTTTTGAAGAATCAGTGCGCAATGTTCAGACTCCCTTTTTGAAGCCTGTTTCCCTGAATTCTGTGGCTGGATGATAACTTTACCCACCTCATCTGTTGGGAAGCAGCAGGAAAGAGGTTAGCAACCTCTAGTGAAGGCTGTCCCCACTAAAGGTTTAAACAAGCAAGAAGAGTGAGTAATCTGTTGGGAAGCAGCAGGAAAGAGGTTAGCAACCTCTAGTGAGGGCTGTCCCCACTTGGTATACGGATCAGGGAAAATTAATGGCATATACTCATTTATTCTGCATGTTTTGCTTTCACATATTATAATGAAATAATTTGGTTCTTCATTTCATTTCTAAATGTATAAAGGCCACTTCAGAGATTTCAACATTAAGGGGGTCTCTTTGGCCTGAGGCTGGATGGGCTTTCCCTTCTTAACCATTCTCATTTCATGGTCTTCTCCAGCTGCTGACTGTTAAACCTGAAGACAACTGTTTGGCCTTGGTTTACCGAGATCGTGAGACACTGAAATTCGTGAAGTACATTAACCACAAAAGTTTGAATCGGAGAGCCACACGACCTGAGCAGACTGGATTTTGGGACTTCTGCTTTGTTTACTATGAATGATCGATGATGGCACACAGGCGCGGCAGAAGATGGTATTTTCTACGAAGAAGCTTCACGGGAGGAGCTTTTGAAACAGGCTAAGCTTTTGTGTTGCATCATCTTCTCTTTCCAGACATTTTAACAGAAGTTAAACTTTGTGCCTCTGCCAACTGACCTATCATGCATCTGAAATATTCTGGGGGTCACCGAGGTTCCTGACTAGCCGTGAGACTTTTCAGCATAATCTTTGGACTGCGGCTGTGATTTCCACAACCCCAAGAAGAAACAGGATTCACAGACTATTGCATTTCCCTCAAGAATACATTCTGCAAGCAGCCTTCATTTGTGGGAGACAGGGTTACAACTTGCAGTGGGCTGTTGTCTTTGTGGTTCAAGTGCTTAGACATTTGAAATGTGTATTTTCTTCCCTCTGTGGCCCGAGAAACATAAAGCAAGGCTGCATGAATGCCCACTCTTTCTTGCGTCGCTTTGCTGCATGAATGTCTGCTGCCTCCACCTTTACCATGAAGGGAGAAGGAGCTGCAGTTCTCTCACACTCCAGAGGAGTCACAGGTGGTTTGCGTGAAATTCTTCTGGCTTGTTCCTTCTCTAGAGCTGCAAGAAACTGCTAGCAGTCGTCACGCTGGGCCCAGCGTGCTTTTACCCAAGAAGATGCCAAAGCGCTAGTCCAACAGAAGTTAGTCATCACACCGAAACCAAAGACTGACTCCAGCTGAATGTAAAAGCTGCCGTAAAACAAAACAAAAACCTAAATGCTACCTTTTAATTTACCTTGGCCAAATAGGAATGTCTCCAGGTGATTTGTAACCACAGGGTTCTGACCTATAAACATGATGGAACGTGAGTTTTAACATGCCTTTTCACCCCCTCACCCCCTCCCCATGCAACACTGCATTTGCGTTCCTCATCATCCTGTCTGGAGAACAAAAGTATCACAAGCAGATTTCTCAAAAGTGGAAACCAGAGGGAAGTTGAGGTCTATTTGTTTTATTGAAGAGAGTAACAGTGGCAGATTATCTCTGATTTAAGAAAGCCTTTGCCTGACTACGTAAACTATCTTAAGCTCCAGACCTTGGAACTTTTCCAGGCTGTAGCACTTTCCAGGGAATGCCATAAGATCTCTTTGCTCGCACGATGTTCATATAGAAGCTCAGTTTTTCTCCTGTCTCTTCTCTGTGACTGGCAGAGAGCTCAGGCTCCACACACCGTCCACCACAGTCATTTCCCTTCATGGGAGCGTCGGCTTGCGTTCTCCTTGGCTGGATTTTGGCTTACCACTCAGTCACTTACAGCGGATCTGACCTAACCAGCGTATGCTACCACCTAGCTGCCGCTAAACCGTTCTTTGGTCTGTATCTCATTGCGGTGGCCTCCAGTTACAGTGATCGTCCATCTAGGTTGTGCTTCGGTCCTTTCCTTGATCAAGAGGAAGCTGTTCCCACGCGCATTACTTTGATTAGCGTGTTGACATTGTTGTTCTTAATAGCGTCCCGACAAGCTGCAATCACCTGCGCCTTGGGCTTGCCAACTGGGGAAGAAAGAGGGGGAAAGGGTTAGCGGAGGACGTCCCGTTCCAAGCACTCAAGAGACTCACACTGAAACATTAGAAATAAAAGCATGGAAACTTAAGACTGAATTTGGACAAGCGTTTCAGGCAAAGGTTTTTCGGAGAACAGCTCTAGCCATTTATGGCCCTTTAAGCACTTTCCAAAAGGGAGCTGTTTCAGGCAACACAATCGTTGCATGAATCAAGATTTTGCTGCAGAGTCTCTCTTCATAAAACCATTTCTCCCTGAAACAGGAAGCCTTTTTTCAAAGGGGAAAGGCTATATGCCAGTAGAAGAATCAACGTATTTTTTGGGAGGAATCAGGTGAAAAGGGGCACAAAAGGGTATTATTCATCACCTAGTCCCAAGGGGGAAAGTGGTATGGGTGGGAAAAGTTTTTAAAAAATAAATTATAATAAAAAAGTTGCAGGGGGCCTCTATTTTAGCAATTTTGCAGCATGTGGTGAAGCTTCACTGGCCTTCTGGGCAGCACTACATGCAGCGCCACCCACACCCTTTTCTTAACAAGAATGCAGGGGATCAGGCTGTGGGTGTTCGACTTGGGAAGGGATCCTCTCTCTTGGTGACAAACCTTATAAAAAGCACAGTGTGAAGAGGCCACTCAGAGCCTCCCTGTCTCTTGGCTTGAAGGGGTGGGTGGCATTCTGCATACCGTCCCCCTTGAAGTGGCCACAGGAGAGGTTTGAAGAGAGGCAAATCTTAGGGGTGAGCCGTGCCCAGAAGAACATTTCCCTTCTCTCAGGAAGCTCCTCCTTTCTCATCAAGGAATGTTCTTGGGTAGAAGATCACAGGTACTCAGCATCCTTACCTTTATGAAACACAAGCCTCACGAAAACGTGTCCCACTGTAGGTTGAGAGAGTGAAAAGGCACCACAAAAGGGTTTCCTCATACACTCACTCAATCTCCCAGGGAGAGGGGAAATGTCTTTGATGGTCCCCATGGGCAGGTCCTTCCAACTGCCTCTTAAGACACCTGAAGCTGCAATCGCATCAAAGTCATGTTTTCTTCACATTGTTTTTGAACAACCCTGGAAACCATATTTTAGCTCAGAAATCGACACTTCTGGGAAAGAAACAAAACCAGTTCTGGCCTGTGGATATTTTCCAAATCAAGGCTGAAGTGCCCATTCTCATAGGTCTAGGCATACTCAAAGTGCTCCTCAGCCCTTCCAAGCTAAGAAATGGCCACATTTTCTGACAACCTTCAAGAAAACAAGAAGTGAACACCCAGCAGTCAAAGAATGGCCCCCTGAAACCCAGCACCCCTTCCTCGGCACCTACCCCGCAGGCGTCCTGCTCTTTGGATGGCCTGGTTTATTGCCTTCAGGTTACTAAGGAGCTCTGTGTGATTGGTGCAGCGAATTTTGTACTGAGACAGCAAATCCCTATTGAGATCATACAGTTCCATGTATCGTCTCTTCATATTTTTCCTGTAGGGAGAAACAAGCCGGGTGTAAATGGCAGGCCTTCAAAAACCATTATCTGCCCAAGCCAGCCCCAGACCACTGATTCAGGACTATGGATGAAATATCCAGGAGTGGTGGTTTTCACTGCTAGGGTAGCACCTGGTTCGCACAAGGCATGAGACCTGGATATTCCAGAGTGCCTCTCCTGATACTAACAGCCTGGGACCCAAAAATCTGTACGAGTGCCTCTTCCTGTATTGACCCATCCATGACCTTGTGATCAAGGAACATGCTCCTAAAAGCCATTTGTATGGATTTTATCTGAACTAGAAAGATCCACTTCTCATTTTTGGTACAACTGACCACCTTTCCTAAGAAGTGCCACTGTCCAAGCATGGTGGAAATGTTTGGAACATTTTAATACATAAATAATTCTTGCTTAACTCAAATGGTGCTGGAAGGACAGATGAAGAGATACACCGAAAAGTGACACAAAGTCAACTCACATGTCTCCCATCAGACGAGAATCCTCTGCTCGTACCAGAATGCTACGGATAAAGTTGGAACTATCAGCCATGTTGGCAGTGAGCTTCTGACAGACCGTGTGAGAATTATCCACCTGTGTGGGAGAGATCAGCCACCTGTTACAACACCCACTAAGACGCATCAGCAATAATATTCAAATGATACAACCCCTCCAACAATTATAGGCAGAAAGAAAGAGATTGCAGACCCCTGCAATGAGACTAATGCAGCTCTTGTTTATGACGTGATCCTGCAGCATTATTGGAGTAAGCCTGTTTCTCACTCACCACAACTAGGGCCTTGCGCACCTCCTCAAAATACGCTGGAAAATCTGCTTCCACCTGCAAATCTTCAATTCCCCAAAAGGACGCCATTGACTGGATAATGTCCCCAGCCAAATCAATGTTGTCAGTGTTAATGGTGATCTAGCAGACCAGAAAGAGAATGAGGAGGGCATCAGGTTTACCCACAAGCAAACTCTTTGCATCAAACCCCAACAATCGTTGGTTACAAGCCAAGTGAGTGGCCATGCTCAAATGTTGCAACTGAGGGTCAGCTGAGTGGCCCTGAACGTTCCTTTGGATGAGGAAATGAGACCTCCCATCAATGCACGAGGCAAACGTAGCTTACAAAGCACTACAGCATCAAGGAGAAACGGATCTGTTGCTCTCGGACTGCACCTTGAAAAAAAACTACCACTTCTAGTTGCACTGGGGACTGCACAGTTTAATGGGATCATACTTCCCTCTGGGCTGAGTGTTAGGGAGAGGCATAAAGGATTATGATCTCGGATAAACAGTCTTGTTTAGTTCAAAGGTGGAATGTCTGGCCAAAGATCAGGGGTGGGGGCAGGGGAGGAGAGAGACGAAAGACAGACTTGAAGGACTTTTCCATTACAAGGAAGTACCCGTCATGGGAAGGTCATCCTTGGTTATCATCTGACGGTCAGTCCCACCCTGACAAAGGCGGCTCCTTGTGTCTGGGGTCCCCCGAGAAACACTCCCTTGCCTCGTCACCGGATGAGTTCCGCCTCACCTGAGAGGCCAAGCAAGGGCCTAATTGCAAGACCCTGAAAAAAAATGTTACCTCTCCGGTGGGCTTCGTCTGGATGCAGAGCTGCCCTGCGTCGCGCAGGGAGGTGAAGCAGACTTGGAAGGGCTCACTGAGGATCTCCATGTCTTCTGGTAACAGGAAGCTCTGCTTTAGCCACACGGTGACCTTGAAACATACATTTGCAGCGTGAAGGCAAGGTAACCTGCATAGGGCACAGGGGACGTGGGGTGTCTCTTCTCCACCCCCTGCTAACGAGCTTGCCATTGGGTCAGTGTTAATCCTGGAGGATGGGTAGTGGGGGTGCACATGGCTGCTTCTCGCACTGACAGGGTGCTGGATCTCAGCTCACAGCCTGCCCTACCTAGACAGCTCGAGGCACCTGCCCCAACTCGCCATCCCTGCAGCTGGGGATGAGGAGGAGAAGCCCCTTGTGGTCGCACTGACAAAACACCAAGACACCAGGAAGCCTCCATCCTCTCCCAGTTTCCCATGAGCACAACGGGCTGCCGTTTCCTTCACCCCCCTTTCATCTTTGAAACTCAAGCGGCAACCTTTCATGCTCAGGCAAGAGACTAACAGCAATCAGGCTAGAATAGAGTCTTCCATTTCGTCCAGTAAATGTCCCCATCCTCTCTCTTGCTCATATGCCTGTCACTTGGTGCCTGTCTCCCATTGTCACCTGAAGAAACGTGGGCACAAAATCAACAGGTGGAAGATTTTTGCAAGAACAAGACAATGTTTTCAGAATAGTTAACAAGCCACATTCTATAGTACTGTTCAACCATTATCCATCTAGGCTGGAAGCTGCCTCTTTCAAGTGGGGCTACGGCAAGACTGCAACCTGAGGTCATTTTTAAGTGGAGATGCTGGACCTAGAAATGCTTGTACGTTTCTGCTTTAAAAAAAATGGACCACCCCAGCAGTAATGGGTGCCAGTCTTAAGGTCTGGAAAAAGTTTCATAGGAAGAAGGCTGGTGTCCACTGTTTGAAATGGCATCGTTTTGATAGGACCTTTCAACTGCAGTCTGGAAGCCCATGAAATTTCTGATGAAGGTTTTCCACAAAGCTTTTGTGACCTATTCCCAGTGTAATTAAAGATTATGCATCGGCTGCTATGTTCATCCCACAGACTGGCCAATTAAGGTCTGGAAAAAGTTTCATAGGAAGAAGGCTGGTGTCCACTGTTTGAAATGGCATCGTTTTGATAGGACCTTTCAACTGCAGTCTGGAAGCCCATGAAATTTCTGATGAAGGTTTTCCACAAAGCTTTTGTGACCTATTCCCAGTGTAATTAAAGATTATGCATCGGCTGCTATGTTCATCCCACAGACTGGCCAAACGCCTGTCTCTGGCACAAACCACGCAGCAGTAATCACAGCAGTGAACTGTTGACAGTTAAGGTGTCCACGCTGGTATTCCTTGTCGCAGCTTGGCATCAACTCCCTAGCAAGGGCCAATTCATGCCGTTTGCCTTCCATTGGCATGCACAAGCGATAGGATCTGGCCCGCAAGGCCCTGGGGGCCAGAGACCCCTCCCTTTATAGTGTAAATCTCTTCTGAAGCATTAATTGAGAGACAACATGAGAAATCGTATTAATTAAAGCACCATGTCCAGCCCTGCGGAGGTGGTACAAGCGGGAGACACAAGTTGGCGAAATAAGGAGGAGGCGAAGAAAGACCTACCATTTGCACTCTGTCACTGACTGAGAATCGTACAAAGCTCAGCGGTCCAGGAGCAGAATCCGGGCTGCTCAGTGTGTACATGGAGAAGCGAGGAAGCTGCTTTGACAGCTCAAAGACGTGGAACTGTGTGCTGGAAGGACAAGAGACAGAGCGATCACGAGGACCTGATGCTTATGCCCTTTTGCTTTGCCTTCTGGCATGACCTGCGTCCAAACCATTCAAGACCCCAGGCCACAGCGTTCTTTGAAATCCCAGCCTTGACTTTTGAGGGCATCACACACTGAAAAAAAAAACCTATTTCCAAATAAAAAGATGGACCTGTCTCAATTTATTTTAATTCCATCCAATGTTTCATTCATTTTCATGCCAATATCCTCATTGGTCTGTCTGTTCACACATTCGTCGATACCTGCATCCATCCAATGTTTCATTCATTTTCATGCCAGTATCCTCATTGGTCTGTCTGTTCACACATTCATCGATACCTGCATATACTGAATTGCTTAATAATGCTAACCAAATAGAATCGAAAAATAACTGTTCAATACAAAATGTTGCTAATTCGTCCAATGAATCTGGGGTTTCATTTTAAAAGCAGAGCAAGGTGAGCCCGATAATATTCTGGGCAATTTTAATATACTGGATTGTTTAATAATGGTAACCAAATAGAATCGAAAAATAAATGTTGCTAATTCGTCCAATGAATCTGGGGTTTCATTTTAAAAGCAGAGCAAGGTTGTAGACTTCATGGAAGCATAGTTCAGTTTTAAGGGTCAATGGGAAGCATGCACTCAAGCATCCTTGGCAAGCCTGCATTTCCCCTGCTTAATGAAACTTCAGGTTTTAAGGAAAAGCGATAAAAAGAGAAATACATGTATTGGAACAAGATTTGCAGCAGGGTGGAAGACAGATAAGAGCTCCCGCTGGCTCTGCCATTCTAACTCGTATAGCAATTCTACTGGTTTCCAATATTCTATATGACCAGTTCTTTCTTTTATTGCTAAGACTGTGTACGCCTTCCATTTTTAAAAAATGAGCACACAGCAAGATTATCTACCTCACAGATTAGGCTTGCCAAATTCAGAGTATGCAAACTCCAAGTTCACTGGATTCAGAATTAAATATTTTCATGACCCAGTTGGTCCTATGAGAGTACTGTGTTCAAACCAATGAGAGAAAGAACTCTCAAAAAATCATTCCCATAATTTTTAGATTGACTTTCACAGAATCCAGAATGTTTCGTAAAGAGCAGGTGGGGGAAGAAACCTAGAGACACAGCAGGATAACAACAAAACGCAAAAGCTAGTATTTGTGGACTCGTGGGACTGAAGAAAGCTGTGAACAAGCAGGGCAGATTCCCTCTTGTTAACCCCACACAAACACCACCCTCAGCAGTGGGGAAGAGTGAAGGAGGTTCACCGTGTCACAGTAAACTTGTGAGTTCAAGCAAGCCAGGCCTGGGGACGTCAACATGTCACAGTAAACTTGTGAGTTCAAGCAAGTGTGCGCAGCCAGGCCTGGGGAGGTCAACGGTCTCTTTTCTCTTCCTGTCTGCATAACTCTTACCTATTCTTGTAGCCGACAAAAGCCTTGATGTTCAGCTCCACCGGGACATCTTTGGGAGGCGTGAGAGGAACTTTAATGCGGCGTGAAAGGTTTGGAAGACTAGGATGGATCACATGACTCTCGCCTTCAAATATTCCCTCCGCAAAGATGATTACTGTTCGGATGATTGTGTCTTAAAGAAGGGAAGAAAAAGGCCTTTTTAAATTAGTAGGTGGGGGGCCGTTGTGGCATACTTTTCAAATGTAAGGGAAAGTAACTGGCTGACCTAATGGTACAGAAGGCAATAAACCCTATTTACCGAATGCTAGCATATATATGAGCAAAGCATGGTCAGATCTGATCTCACTGAAGGTCCCATTTTTATGTTGCCAAGTTCATTCTCTCCAATCTGATGCAAGCCTTTTTTTAAATGCATGACATTTTTATGTATTTGCCCACATTTTCAAAATGTATGAATTTGAGCAGAATAAAAGAAGAATAGTACAATAATTGACTCAAAAATCCAGTAGAAGACCCTTGGAAAAGAGATTCAGACCTCCCTTTTTCCCCCCAAGCATCTTTCAGTTCTGAGGCCTTATGACAGAGTCACGTACTTATATCTAAGGGATGAAACAGAATGACTCAGAGATCTGTTTCAGAGGGCAAGATATGGCATTAATACACCTTGATAGGAAAGGGGACAATTTATTCATTCAAGCTGTCCCTGGGCAGACCCCTGAAGAGCTTGTACATGATAAGCTGAGACACAAAGGAGTGTGAAGTTACCTAAAGCAGAGGATGTCGCTGATAAGAGGGACTGACCGGCCACTTCATCTCCTGGATCAAGTGTATTCCTTATCTTTCCTCTAAGATGCAGCACATCTCGGCTGCATTGGCAAATGCCTCCATAACAGTCTCAGAAACCCCATTTTCAAGTGCAGAAGGATGCTGAAAACTTTCAGCTATAAACATGCTTCAGACCATGCAGCAACCATGAGAAGTGCCCAGGAATGATTCAAACAGGGTACCAGAAAGGACTACAAAGATGGTAGCTGCTTAGACAAGATTTGCTGCTAAACCTCTCTCACCGTTAGAGGTGGAAATGCATAACTCCACGTGAGCAGATTCGCTGTCTGATCCCAGGTTGACCGAGAGCGACGTTTTGAGCTGGGTGTTTGCCGGAATCACGCCTTTTTGCCCGTCCACCTCGTTCGTTTGAGCCTTTGGTTCCACTTGCTGTAAAACATGAGTGTTAACTCCAAAGGCTGGATTACTGTATTCAGAACTGTAATTTCAGAGGTGATCAAACAAACAAAACTTCGCTATGGATCATGCGACCGAGAAAGTCATCTAACTGCATCACTTTCATTGAAATTTACAAGCTACTTCAGTTGTCCTGCCATACTGCTTTTCTCCTGAGGCATACAGGTTTGAAATCAGGCTTGGTGGGTTATTCCTGTCGTCCTTCTGAAAGACCTCTGAAATGGCTGATTCAGCATTGCTGTTGTGTACTGGCACCTCTAATTTACTTGGCAAGAAACTGCAGACATTTTACTACTTGAGGTTAGGATGCTGGTCAACTAACCAGTCAGGGGACAGTTAAAGAACTGATTACAGATAATAGTGACTTACATGACATTTGGCCTAAGTCAAAAGGGGCAACTCACAGGTGGAACTCTGAAGGGGGGAGTTTCTGTGTGGCCTGGCAGGGTGTCCTGCAGAGCTTCTGATAGAGATGGGACACTACAGCTCTCTGACAGTTCATAGGCTCCCCACCACCTTCTTCAGATACATTCATGAAGAAGTACTCTATTATTTGACAATGTTAGATCATGCCATTTTTGTTTGGTTTTGCTCCACGAAAATGCCAGTCAGCATATAGTTGCATTCAAGTATAGGGTATCGGATTCACTAACGGTTGGCAGATAGTCTTGGATTATGTCTGTTGCCCAGCCTCAGTTCCTTGTCTACACAAAAGGATTAAATGAAAGACGAGTCAGACCCCTCTCTAAACCTTGATCAGTTTACTAGTTAATTCTAAAACCAGTTACACCCCACTGGTTTTGTCAAAGGTCTAAATGAGCTGAGACACTTAGCTCACATTTAGAGGCATGCACTCTTAAGCAATGAAAGTTTTTCACCTCCGTATCTTGCATTCTAAGATACTTAGTTTTGTGATTGGTCCATGGAAGTTAAAAAACACGGGCTTACTCTGCAAGTCAGATTGCTAAAGCACACAGCTCTGAGGAAAGGCAGATGCTGGAGGAAAAACACGGCTCTAGTTTCTCAGTGACAGCTTAGCATATCAGCTAGTTTGACCCAGAGATATTCTGTTTGTCTCTGGGCAAACAGCAGAACTGCACCCACCCTCCCTCCCTCTCATACAAATTACCTTTGCATTTTCCTCGTAGTTTCGCAGCTCAAGGAGTAGGTTTTGTTTCTTCAAGCTGAGCTCTCGAATCAGGTCTTGATCCGCGCTTGTGTCTAGCAGTTTCCCCTTCATCTCTTGGCTTCCTGGAAGGTATCCTCGCACTGAAGAACAGTAAAGCCAAAAGCTTTCCTAAATGATGTATGACTGGAGGCCTAAGTTATTTGCAACTTGATATCTTACCTAGAGTGTTTGCCCACCCAAAGAAATGGGTTCTGATTCAAACTAGGCGAAGTAAACTCTGTTCCCATTGGAATTGATGGGCAAAATAGTTAAGCCTGGTTTCAGTGGGAGCTAAGAAGTAATAGCCTACAACCCACTGGGTGGTTTTCCTAGCAAACACTAGAGCTATCAATGTGAACCTGTGCACCTTTGTTCCACAGAGAGTCCCAGAAAATACACAAACATCTTCTTTTACAAAATTGCTATATTTTGCAAGATCCAGAAGTAGTTCCATTTTATTTTATCTCCAAACCCTTGTCTTCCTCGGGACTTAGACAGACAGTTTGGGAGTACTAAAGGACATACTTGGTTCTTCTGGGGAGAAGAAAAAAAGGTTTCCAGTTTAA